GATGTGATGTCATAGAGTTCCTCAACTGCCTCAGAAGAATCCCAACATGTTGGGGAATAACATGCCAATACATGGACCATGCGACCAGCCAGTCGAAAAACCAACATACAGATCCGTGAAGAAATCGCATGAAAAGAAATATTGCTCATCGACTTTTGCATAGCTTTGGACACACAGATGCCCACACCTTTGCTGCATGAACCACCACTCAAGTAAAGCATATCACCATGCGGAGATGTTAATGCCTCTTCGCGTTCACTCCGCCACGTCTCACTGAGTAGCAGAATGTCATACTCAACATGATTCAGCTCTGTCAAAAAATCTTGAAATCTAGACGGGTCCTTGATGCTCTGTACGTTCTTTGTGATTATATGCACATGAATGAATTCGTCTTGCTGCTGCGTGGCCTGTGTTGCACGCTTATCGGGAGCAACCCTCCGTTGATGCATCGCCACTCCCTCTTCCTACTCCATATCGGCAATGAACTCCTCAAGTGCTACCTGAACAGGTTGTAGCTCGATACCATTGTGCAACCAATTCACGCTCAAGTCCTCATTGATGCTTGCGATTGGCAGAAGCTTTGCGTTGTCGCGAATAACCACTTTGCATGATTTGTAGCTCGCAACGACGTTCTTTGGGGAATAGCTGCCTAGTTCAATAAGGTACTTCTTCAACTTGCTGACAACCTTCAGACGGCGACGATCTTCGCGTGAACGATTCTTTGCGGCCCACAACTTTGCGGTTTGCAACCTCTGGTGCTTCCGTTGTGAACGAATGAACTTCATAGCTATGGATGGTGATTTTTAGCGAGCGAGTGCTAGAGCAGGTTCGGTATCCGTGTCGGTAACATCACAAAGTCCGCGTTCGTCTTGCAAAACTTCGCGTGATAGTGCTTCCGCCTCCTCCATCGGCTTCTCGCCAAACCCCCCGATGACCACGATGGATTTGTCGACATCTTCTCGAGCATCCTTGTTGTGAAAGTCGTGGTTGCTTTCCAAACGGGCGATGCGTTCTTCAAGTTTCGTTCGTGCTTGCTTCTCGGCAGCCAACTCCGCATGCAAATTCGCAATGGATGCATCGAATTTGGAAGATATGCGGTGTTCAACTTCGGATAGCTCCTCTCGCATCATGGTTCGTAAAATGGATATTGTTGCAGCACTCATCTCCAATTGTGTGTTGGCAATGTCCTGATTGCTGGGTGCACTGAGTGCTCCTTCATGTGCCTGTGCAGGCTTGTGTCGGGATCTAGCTTTTGCTTCCTTATCCGGGCTACCCTCTGGCGCTGATCTCTTTGAAATCACCGGCATGTCCACATCAGCGAATGTGAGGAATTCCTTTTCGAAGTCGGCACTGATGTCTTGCCACTGCGCGCCCAAATTGGTAGCTTCACCGATCGTTGTCGCTGTCTTGTATTTTTCAAAACGTTCCCAAGCTTTGGACCCAGGTTTCTTTGGGTTCTCGCTTCGGAAAGATATGGCTGTGTCACTAGTTTTGAGGAGCTTGTTTTGCTCTTCAGAAAGCGGCATGGCCCAACTACGGGACGTGTGCCCAGCTCGTCTAGAGTTGCACGCTTGAGTGCCCCACTTGAGCCAAAACTTGAGCCAAAATGGTAACCGTGTCATATAAGAGTCATATGCCGCGCGGCCGTCGAAGCAAACGACAATCTAGGGCGGCGTCGGTGCCCAAGAAAGCATGTGTGGGAGCAATTTTGCTTTCCCACGTGTCGTGATGACGGTAACGTCTGTGGGCTCCAGCGACATGCCAGCGTCGCACCCAATTATTCAACAGAAGGCTTGCTATGCACAACATGCACGCTGCGAGTTTCCAGTTATACGCCCGCAAACTGCGCTCATGGTTTTGGCAAGGGGTGAAAACTGTCGCGTTCCAGTCCTACATTTTTTCTGACGCCTGTGTCCGTCCGCAACAATAAGTTCGCGGTCGAGGCTGCTACTCAGGCCGCTACGGCGGCGCAGCCAGGAGGTCTCCCAGCAGCTGCTCAACGCTGTCGCTGGCGTCGCTGGGTCGCACGTACCGACTCCAGCAAGCTTTGGCCGTTCGCAACAACGTCAAACGCTACCCTCGCCGCGCGAGCGAGTCGTTGGAGCAGCGCCAACGCTTTGGCTGTCGAAGCGCCGGCCTTGCTGGAGCGCAGGTTTGGTTGCAGAATTTCATGCAATGAGGAGGTTTAATTTTTTTGGCGCAAATCTTTTCGAGCATCTTCCGCGGTCCCAGTGCAAGCTGCGAACTTAAGGCGCCTATGGGGTGCTAGCGCAGCGGCAGCCGGCTCGGGGCGCTCGCAATCGCGAGGTCCAACACGTCACCCAACAGGAGCGCGTCTGGCGCACCAGGCAGCGGCGGCATGGTCCAGACTCCAAGCGCGGAGCTGGCGACGGCTAGCTGCAGGCTGCAGGGCAACCGACAGCACACTCCACCAGCGGCGCGCCCAGCCCTGGGCTGCAGCGGCGCGCAAAGGTGGTGGGGCGCGTTGGACACGGAGCCGGAGTAGGGTACGGAGGAAATGCTGGCACTCGTCCGTCGCTCCAGCGGCCCCCGACTTCTGCAGCGAGGACTACCAGTCGTTGAGGCCCTCCGCGGGTCAACTCCGGGTAGCGCGCGACTTTGCGTCGGCGCGCCGCGACAAGCGCGACTCCCTCCTGCGCGTCGGCACCGAAGACCAGCGCGAGTAAGGGGGGAGACGAAGGTGCTCGTTGCGCCGATAATCGAGGCGGCGACGGTCGTCGGGGTGAACCTGCGGCGCTGTTGTGCGCGACAGCCATTGGCGGACGTTGGAACGCCTCAGCAATGTCGCTTGTGAGGCGCCTGGTCGCGCTGCGCGGCTGCCGGGCCCCACCGGCCGGCCCCACTCGAGCAGACTGGGCGAGACGCTGGCGGAGTGTGCTCTCCACGGCAGTGCATCAGGCGATTGGCCACACGGCACTGGGCCGAGCACGTGCTGTGCCCGGGCCAGCGCAGAGTCGGGTGCCAGCCTTGGACGGGGTTCTGGCACTCACACCTGCCGACTCCGTCAGCCGGCTTCCGCTGCACTGACGCCCTGAAACCTGACCGCGCCATAGGAGCAGTCGGAAACCACAGCTGACCTGGTCCAAACGGCGGCAACCAACTCAAAATGTCAACGAATAGAAAAAGCACTGTGCACAGCGCGGTCAAAACCGCTCCACATCCCACAGATCCGACTCATCTTCTTGAACGTGGACAGCAGTTGTGCGTTTCGTTGCGATATATACGTGATACGCCCGCTCGGCGCAAACAGTGACCACATATCCGCCGGGTGATACGGGCTACTAAGTGCAAGCACGTACTCCGGATTCAGGATATCGTCGTAGGTGGTATCAGGAGTGTCGGAGGATGCACAAGGCATCTGAAAGGTCGGTGACAGCCCCAGGACGCAGAATTTAAGGACGCAGACAAACGCAGGCGGCATGCAGTATCCAGGCGGAGCAAGGCCGGTTCTGCTGCAGCGCGGCGCTTCTCGCGGAGCTGCCGCAGCATTTCGCAGCATGATAACGTGCTCCCAAACCCCAACCGCCGCGCCGTACTTCGCTTTGATCGGCGCAGCACCGGGGAACATGGAATCATGTTGCAAATCAGGCTTGTCCGGCAAAGTCGCATCACTATCGCAATCAACATTACGTGAATGCGTCTGGCTCAGCTCCCTCCACTGTGCCGGGAAAAGCCCGACAAATGGACAGGGCGTTCGGTGTGTATTTCACGGTTTCTGTGTTTTCCCATGTCTCCGGGCTGTGCATCTGCGCTCCTGCAACAAGGGTGCACTCCTGCTGACCCAACCTTGCATGATGATCAACTTCTTAATTAATCCTGGTGTCTTTGTGTGCAGCCGGGCGTTGATGCTGTATCACTCCATCGGGTGATTTTGTGTCCGCGGAGCAAGCTGGCTGGAGTCCATGGCCTACCCGTTTCTGCATATGTCCGTTTTGGCAGCAGCTGCAAATCCGGTGCCGCAGGCCTGCACATCCAAGGAACGCCGTTGGCTTGCTTTCGCTGCCATACTCCAAAACCACCAATGTTGATGGCGACCCACCGTTTCTCATCGATGTCCTAAACGGGCACCCCGTGTTCCAACTCCACAGCTAAAAACGGATGCTGGTCACAAAGGTTTTCCTTGACATCCCAGCATTCTCAAGCCCAGATGACCGCTGCTGCCCTTGTTAAGCTTCGCCAACTGTCGTCATTCACACTTGCAGGCCTGCCAAAACACGTTTCAGCAAGTCAATGCTCAAGGATGCCGTCGACGTCTAATGTCGGGCACCATCATGCACCATCCGCATGACCGATGGTTTTACATGGTGAAGCTGAGCACTAGTCGGGAGGTGGCACATATCATGTCAGATACATGCAAGCCTGAGGCCGATGCTTCTTGAATCTTGCAATGGCATGCTGGCTTTTCTTTATGCTATCGCTAGCTGCCAAGGCCACGACCAAAACCCTACAACCATTGGCACGTGTCACGGGAACCGGCTCGGTCGGAGGCTTGATGAAACCGGTACCCCATTGCCTGGGGTGCGCGTCAAGGTCAGTTAGGTTGAAACCGGAGCACCTTCTGGCGAAGCAAACGGCGGCTCCACTACTGCACGGCCCCACCTCGGCCCCCTTCGGTCAAAACCCCGCCTCTTCCGGCGACTCTTTGCTTGCGCCTCTTTGCTTGCGCTGGTTTTCTGCTGGTCGGCTGTGACGTCTTGGGGTTGAATTCGCTTGCGGCCCTCTTCATTTGCCGGGCCGAGGCGGACCACTCGCGAGGCGTTTACAATTAAACCTGCGGTTGGGCTTACGTGGGGTCTGCAGAGATCCGCATGCCGTCGGGGGAAACACAGAGTTCCGTTTAGCGCTATCTCCAAGCTCCTGGTTTCCCTGCGTACAGTAGATGTTTGCAATTTGAGTCCTTTCATACTTTGGTGTCTGTGCAAGAGCCTGCGCATCCTGCATTCATATGCCTTGATTCTAAGTCTAATAAGCTTGCACATGGTCCATGAGTTCCGACTGTGAGCCCGCGGTACTCGGGAGTCAGGGATACACGAGAGAACGTCGCGCCTCAGCATCGAAACGATCGCCAACCTCGACGGCTAGGACAACGCGTCGGCATCGGCGTAAGCGGTGGAGCTAGGTTTCGTGGCAGTCGCGACGCCGGCAGCTCCCCCAGAAGCTGCTGGCAGTGACTCAATATGGTTGTAGCATGCATTCACCCGCGACACTCGCCAAAACATGGTGGGGAAAATTGGACAAGCGGGCTGATCGCGGGTCGGTGCCTTGCCTGACTGCACCGACAATACGGATTAAGTAGTCCGAGCACGGACCAGGGAGTCGTTTTGGCAGGGTCTCCGGAAAAGGAACACTTCTTGCTGGGATTCTACTCCGAGAGTTCGCCTCTCCGTGTTGTCCAAGAAAGAATGCGGGAAAGCGCCCGCTTACCCTGCTGTCCAATAGATGTTGCCAGAAGAAGCAAGTCGACGCTCCAAGATCCTGAATGCATGACTGTTGCCGCCATGGATCCTGCCGTTTCGGCGATGACTATCAGCGAACATTGAGCGGAAGCAGTCTAGGTGATTTCAATCTTAGAGTCCCACAGTCCGTCCCAGAATTCATCATAGGCAGATTTGGCATACTTGGCCTGCCACATGTTTTGGTCGTATGAAAAGATGGTGCCGGAATCGGACAAGACCAAGCATCCTGCCCTGAGCATGTCAAGAGTCTCAAGCCGGTACTGCGAAACCTGCGCATCAGAGACCATGGTCATAGCATTGATTGTCGGCACACAGATGGCCTTCTGCATGAAGCCCTTCAGCAACCTCGATCAAGCAACCAGCAACTTCATGAAAACTTGTCTGCACCGAAGTATGGTGAGGTCTGCATGGCAACTCGGAAGAGTACGTCGATATTTTGATGTTGCTTTGCCCCACAAGTGTTGCGATATCTTGACCTGACAATGACGATCTTCAGCAAAGGGAATCAGAAGCAACCAAGAAAACGAGAAACACTTCCAAGTCAAAGGCGTCGCTCCTCCAAGCCTTGCTGCGCAGCTTCCGTTACAGCCTGAGCTCCGCGCTGCACCGATTTCCGATTGTTTTGCGCAACCGCCAGTGCCTCCGACTCCTTGAGCATCGTCTCGGACTCTGTATGGGACAATGCCAGAACACTCATCCACTGTTCCATGTCCTGACAGCAAGCGTGACTTTCGTGTCCGGGATGACAAACATTGTGAAAGTCAAGCAGTGTCCACTCATCTTGGCACTACTTCCACGGCCGGCAACACCAAGAGTTGCAGGTTGCTGAAGAGACTGGACACCAGAATCCAAGAAACTGTCAATGTGTGCACTTAGGTAGCGATCCGATTTGGGGGGATTCTGTGACAGCTGGAACGGTAAAATAATGGCAGGCCTCTCGACTCTCTGCTATCTTCTACCAACATTGCTGTGTTCTCTGCCTTGGCTGCTTCAACACGTTCTCCCACACGGACTTTCGAAAACAGCCGCGAAACCTGCTCGTGGAACAGACACTCCACGACAAATGCTTGATGGACACCAAGCCTGGACTTTGCATAAGTCGAGGTTGAAGTCCGTCGTGCTTTCTGACATCAGCGATGCTCACCAAGCAATGGCAGCAAAAAATGTCCGGCGGACCGGTGAGCAGATCGTCCAGAGCAAATTGGAGAAAGTTATTCTCGCCAATGGTCGTAGCACCCTGCTGCTCATCATCACCTGGACGTGTGGCGTAGAAGTCACATCTACGATTCATGCATGCCGATTGTTTACCTCCCAGGTGCTGAGGCACTGCTGCGAGCATCATCGTCTGCTTCTTCCTGCACAACTACCTGCCACAAGATCGTGCCCGGATGGTCAAGGCTTTGCGAACTTGATATCTCATACTGCGCCTTGCGTGCTTCATGTACGACGACTTCCTGCCCAACGCTATTATCAGAAACCACTCACTGCAGTATGTGACTTCAAATGTGAGCTCTCCGAGTACGGCTGGAAGACAAACCAACCTTCGGAACTTGTGCTACAGCTTCGGGCCTGACAATTGCAAATTTTTGTGACTGTCTGTGCAAAACCGCACCCGTAGATTGACGTTAACCAGAACTCTGACGAACCTCTGAACAGCAAGACCTAACTGGATCTGAAGAAAGCGTGGTCGCAGCACAACATGAAATCTTGCAACTTGCAGCTGCTACTCACAAGGCTCGCACCCACTGCTTTGTTGTCGTGCGTTCTGCTCGTCCGCGGCTCCCTGTTCGGAATCACCTGGGTCAAGCATCCACAAACCCTGCATCGGCGAATGGACCGTTCACAAGCCTTAGGGTTCGACTGTCACTACCAAATGGGTCCTTTTCATACACGAGGGCCTTAACACTGCCAGCTTCCACATGCCCACTTGGGAAAACATCTGCATTCTACCATCTTCCACCAAGAGATACACAACATTCTTCTTCAGGCAATCAGCGCACTCCTGGATTCAAGCTGGGCTCTCGGAAATCCTCAGCCACAGCACAACCATGTCCTTGACAGCGTTGACAAAGGCTGTTGTTGTATGTACTCCCGACATGCACTCGAAACGACTGCATTAACAAGCGAAAACACACCTGCCCAACTACATTAAACAGCTATCGTCAATGCTATGCTTACCCGCACATGCACAAGAATTTTGCATGCACATGCAGCCTACCAGACAATGCTACTACACATCGAACCAGCGCTAGCTTTTGTCACAATGGAGGGAGTGAAGCGCAATCAAGCAATGTCATGGCATGCTGTGAAGCAGTAGCTCTGCACTTGACTCGCCGAAGGGCATCCATTACTAAAGTTACTAAGTTACTAAAACTGACGTCTAGGTCGTGCAAGTGGCTTCCATGCCTGCTTCCTCGAATTAAAAAAACTGAAGCGCTGACACAAAAACACGGAGTGCGGTGATTTCGCGGCATCTCTACAAAAAATCAAGCCCCGAGACTTCATATGCATCATCGATTATCACGATGCTTACCAAGAACAGACGAACGATGGAATTGGACAGAAAATTGATTCATTGCCTCGTTCTAAACCGGCTGGGAACCGTTGCACATCAACGGCGCAGAATGCGGACGTTGTTTTTGTTTTTGCGAAGGACATACGAAGCAATGAGACACCGCCCCTTCGTCTTGTCCCCCTTCAAAATGTTGCAATACCTGGCAAATGCCGTTGGATTTTTCTGCCAGCTGCTTGCATGCAGGTAAGACCTGACAGGAAGACTGGTTGTCCGCGGGAGATGCAACTAGAAGAACAAACAATGGTGGAGATGCGTGGGACACATGCATTCTATTTGGCATCATTTTGCCGTGTTTTCCCTTCTGTGAAAAGTACAGTTGCGGGAGTATCTTTTTCTACA